GAATTTTTTAATATTAATTTTTTAGTTTTCGGCAGACACAACTTCTTTGTTTTCACGTGGTGCTGAGGATCAAACCCGGGCCGCAGGCATGCCAGGCGAACGCGCTACCGCTTGAGCACATCCCCAGCCCCCAAAAATTAAATCTTTAAAATCAAAAGCCAACAAATTAGGGGCTGGGGTTGTGGCTCAGCAGTAGAGTATTTGCCTGGCATGTGAGAGGTGCAGGGTTTGATCCTCAGCACCACATAAAAATTTAAAAAGCTATTAAAAAAAAAGCCAACAATTTAATCTAAACATGTATCAAGTTGGCTTAACTACATAAAGAGGGACTATTTAAATGATTTTAATATACAGTTAAGTTGACTGTATCTAGAATTTACACTAAGGACCAAAAAAAAAAAAAAAAAAAACAGTTTTAAATAAAAATATTAATCTTTTTAGTAATGGTATTACAATTCAGAAATTATATATGTATATATAGCAATATTACTATTAATATATTTATGTAAATATACTAATATATAACCAGATGCACATGAGTATACAGATAAATAATGGATTATTGAATTGTTTTGTTTGTTTTACAGTACTGAGGATTGAACCCAGAAGCACTCTACCACTGAGCTATATCCACAGCCCTTTAAAAAAATTTTTTTTAAATACTGAGACAGTTCTTGCTGAATTGCTGAAGCTGGCTTCCAGCTTGCAATCCTTCTGCCTCATCCTCCCAACTACCTGAGATCACTGTCACTGCACCCATCGAGGAATAGGTTTTAAAAACAAAGGGCTTTTGGGGCTGGGATTGTGGCTCAGCGGTAGAGCGCTCGCCTAGCCTGGGTGCAACCTGGGTTCGATTCTCAGCACCACATTAAAAAAAATAAAATAAAGGCATTGTGTTGTGTCCATCTACAAAAAAGATTATCTCTCTTAAAAAAAAAAAAAAAAAGGGCTTTGGAGAAATGGCTAACTCAAGGTTTGGAGCAGAAAGTACATAAGGTCTTCTTGTCTGGAACCGGAAAACAAACAAAAAGCTATTAAAGACCTCTGAGGCCAAATCTTAGTGCTGAAGAAGTCGTACACATAGTATAAATGCCACCATATATTAAAAAAAAAAAAAATGCAAGGAGGGCTGTAGATGTTATTCAGTGGTAGAGCGTTTGCCTAGCATGTGTGAGACTCTGAGTTCAATCCCCAAAACTGCAAAATAATTAAAAAAAAAAAAAACAAACTAGTGCTAGTATTAATGGATTTTTACTTTGTCATCTCCCTTTTACCTCACTCTTTCTCTCCAAGTCTTTTATCAGCTGGATATCTTACTAGATAAAGGCCTCTCCTTGGAACAAATCCATTTCTCTACAAATTCCTAACTCCCTCCTGCCTCTCCAAGCTGGTGCCATCTTGCTTTGTCTCATAGCCAACAGCTCCTAGTCATTTCTGCCCTCTGCTTTCCTTCTTCCTTCTCCAATCTTGTAGGTCTCTCAAGAGCCCTCTCCTGGATGTTCATGCCTGTAGTTTAAAAACCTCAGGAGTTTCTAGCATCTATGCTGGATGATCCTATAACCTAGTTTCTGTCCATCCCACTCCCTCACTCCTGAGCCTGCTCTCCATCCACCTTTACCTCCAGCACAAGCCCTTGGTCCTCATGAGCCCTCTGGCTACCTAGTCCCTTTGCAGTGGGATTTCTCAGCCAGGCTTGACCTAGCACCCAAAGGACCTTGCTCTCCTACACAACAGGATCAACACTCTCCTCTGCATTTTCTACTCCTGCTAAGGCAAGCTCCATTTGCTTAAATAAAAGATAAAGTCCTCTCCCTGATATCCAGTTCAGTCAGCTCTGCCACTTCAGTTGTATAATGCTGGGCATTTTTCTCAACTTTTCTATATTTACTTCCTCATCCTGCAGATACCTGATAAATGTTTGGTTAACATTGACATAAAATAACATGTGCTCATTTTTTTTTTTTAATTGAGAACTTGTTCTTTTCAGTACCTAATATTTTTCCCCCAAAAGCACTGAACTCTATTTCATCCTCTGTTTGTAAAAGACCAAATTTCCTACCTTCCTACAGGGAGTAGCTCCCTTTCTTCTAAAAGCAAAAAGCACCATGAAAGTTTTCTCTTCAGAGTAAGCGGTGACAAAACGAAATGGTAGCCACCACCTCTACCTCCATGAAGAGCTCGTAGAGCACAGCTGTCACGTGCCTCCTTTCACATCCACTGTTCAAACTCTATTTTTACAAATCTGATGGTGTGGAGCTCTGCAATGGGACCTGTAGGTTCCAGACAGTCAAGGCCAAGACCAAGCAATTGACCTGAGGTTTCCTTATTGTTAAATTAAGTTACCACAAAGCCCATGGCTGAGAGCCAGTCCCACGTACTCAAAGCTGAGACAGAATCACTTGAGCCCAGGTAAGGTCAACCTGAGCAAGAGACCTCGCCTTTAAAACAAAAGGAAAATCCCACAAAGAAATGCATATATTCATCCAAGATTGAAAAGGTCTGATAAGAATTAACACCTGTTTTCTTTCCTTCATCCCCCTTAGGACATTATTTTTAGATTTTTACCTTAGTTCCTCTACTAGACAAAATCTTTTAACACCTAAAATTTTCCAAACAGGCTGGGGATGTAGCTCAGTGGAATATGGGCTTGGCCAGGAACAAGGTTCTAGGTTCTAATCCCCAGCACCACACAGACAGAGACTCCAAATAAGTACCAATTTGCATAACCTCTAAACATTTAAAGCTTCCCAATTACATCTCTAACAAGGTTGAATTACAATTTAAGATTCCAAGAATTTATGAAGAAATATCAATTTAGTTTTACAACTTCTTTTGGCTTGGTCTTTTGGCTCTCCAGGTGTGTTTAAGTAAATATAGCTTCTCACACAGTGTGGTGTAGGACATGGTCAGCTTTTTACGTAAAGCTCCAGGCTATAAATATTTTAGGTTTTGAGAACAATGCCTGTCTCCCACCTTTTTAAGACAGCAAACCTTTAAAAATGTGGGGGGAAAAGGGGAATTGCATGGAAGAAGGAAGGAGACCCTCATCGTTATACAGATTACATGTATGATGATGTGAGGGAAAAGGAAAAAGAAAAATAAGTGTGTCACATTAGATTGGGTAGAGAGAAGTGATGGGAGGGGAGGGGAAGGGGGGATAGGAAGGACAACAGAATAAAATAGACACTAGTATTGCTGTATGTACATACCTGACTGCATGACCAATGTGATTCTGCAACCTGTACACTCAGAATGAGAAATTATACCCCATTTGATTCAAATGTAAGATGTCAAGATCATTGTACTGTCGTGTAATTAAAACAAATTAAAAAAAATAAAATTTACTGTAAAGAAAGTTTAAAAAAAAAAAAGATAGCAACCCTTTAAAAATGTGGGGGGAAAAATTACATATGCACCATTAGAAGCTAGGCTATAGCAAGATCTGACCCAGGCTGTGGTTTGCCAATCCCTGATCTAAAAATCTGGGTTATTCAAGCTTTTAGATCAGTACTTTTGTGTCTTCTGGTACTCAAGTCCTGGAACAGGCCTCAGGGAACAGCAAGCATTTAATATTCAAATGATTGATAAAAGCCGCCAAGTATTGCAAAATCACCATTAGTTCCTGGGGCAGTATATAATAAAGGAAAAAAATAATACTGTGTAATTTCCTGAGAGCATATTGTGTTCAATCAGGTGACATGGTTGCCTTAGTCCACTTTCTGATCACAGGTACTAGTCACATTACCAAGAAAGACACTGCTCAAGAGAGGGTAGCCCTTAACCTTCAGAAACAAGCCAAGAGGGAAATTTCTAAAGTAAAGTTTAAATGACATTTGTGTAAATATGAGGAAGACATTATTAAAAAAAAAAAAAAAAAAAAGACATTTTATGACAAAATGTTTTACTATTAAAATAAAAACCTTTGTATAAAAGTATTACAGCTCAAAAGCTATATTTACACTTATTGATTCAAAGTCCAATTAAGCATCAAACTCTGAAAGGGTACAGCAACAGGCTATACATGCAATACACTGGACACACAAACACTTAAAATTCCACTTCTACCATATAATGATTTATGTGAAAGGAAAGAAAAAGACAAAATCTTTTTTAACAACCCAAATTTTCCAAACAACAGGCTGGGGATGTGGTTCAGTGGAATATAGGCTTGGCCAGGAACAAGATTCTGGGTTCTAATCCCCAGCACCACACAGACAGACTCCAAGTAAGTACCAATTTGCATAACCTCTAAACATTTAAAGCGTCCCAATTACATACCTAATAAGGCTGAATTACATTTTAAGATTCCAAGAAATCTGCCCAGAAACTACAATGGCAGAGATACCAAGTTAAAAAACCATTGAAAATTATTCATCTTTGAAAAGGCACTTCTCATTGTTATAAAAAAATGCTTAAAACCTGAAAAAAATCCCTGTACACAGGAACACCCAGGGATAAGAAACTGCAAAGAACAATAGTCTAGTTATTATCAAGTTTCTAAAAACTTTTACAGCAAGAATTTATATCAGACTACTCTGAGGTTTCCCCATCCTAAATTCCCAGAATTTCTCTTAAGACAATTGTTTTAAGTAGTGCAGTGTCTTATTGCCCACAGACCTTTGGAAGATTGTAAACAGGATGCACCACTTCACTTTAGGGTGGAAGAAATCAGAGGCAACAAAGTCTCAACTGTGACAAGTTATATAGTAACCACAATACATGCTGGTATTCTCATGAGAGGCATTCACACACAGTAATATACTTCATTTCCCAACAATTACTAGTTTTTCCACATTGTTCTAAGATTTTCATGCCTTGATTCTGTTAAAAATGTCAATTAGTGTGAACATTAAAGTCATAACCATTGTTTTTGTATAAACAAGTCAGAGGGCTGCTCTCTGGAACTCGACAGAACAGTTAGTATTTTTATACCGTGTTTTTAAGTGCTCAGGGTTTATGGGTAGATTTCAGGGCTATTTCAACACCAATTAAATCAAATATGCTGTTAAAACTCTGATTTAAAAAGAATTCTGAAACTAAGTGACTAGAGAGGACTCCTGGAAAAAGAGAGAGGGGCTATGTGATGGGGTCCAGGGGAAGCAGAGGAGAAACTACAGGAGGATGAAGTGTAACCAGCCACATGTCTCCCATGATGTTCCAGAAATATGTGCCAGTCTAATGAGATGAACTTGACTGAGTTTCCCATAAGGCAGACTGATCGTCAAGACTCTTAATCAATGACAAAACCGAGAACTTTAAGGGCGGTGTGAGAAGCAGAAGGCCAGCATCTGGTGGGTATTACGCTTGCATTTCAAATTCCTGTTTCAGGCTGTGAAAGAGAAAGGGGGACATATTAGGATATAGTCAGTGATCTAAGAATTCTCTTTTGAAAGCCAAATTCAACTGTTAAAACATGTTTTGAGTTATATAACACATATATGGTCAAGTACATACATCAAGTGTTCAACCTGAACTTTACACATCGGCCACCCAGTCACTACAACCCAGATTAAGATATACTGTTTCCAGGCTAGGGATATAGCTCAGTTGGTAGAGTGTTTGCCTTGAATGCACAGGGTTCAATCCCTAGCACCATTCCCCCCCAAAAAAACCAATATACCCTTTCTAACACTACCTATACTATACCCATTATAGTCTTTGGTTTTGGTGCTGCTGGGGATCAAACCCAGGGTCTTGCACATGAGGTAACCATTTCTATCCCTGAGCTATATTCCCCGACCCTCCTTGGTTCATATTATCTTTTTGTATTAAGATCTTTTTTGTATTATGGATCTTTGTATTAAGATCCATAAACGAATCCAAGATTCAGGTGTGGAAGAAAGACAAATAATTGCCATTACCTTTTCAAGTAATCATGAACATTCCCAAAGCCATGATACTTGGCTAAATACACAAGGACCCCAGTTGCACACCGTCCATCTCGTTGGCGGCAGAAGCTGCAGTTGCAGATTCCTCGACAAGGTGGGCAATGCCAGTTCTGAAAGAGCATTGTGTAAAAACACCATGAAATCAAGCCTTACTTTCCCCATACTATCTACTCCATTTTATTTCATCTTTTTATTTAATGTGGGTATCATTAATCCATTTTTTAGATTAAAAGAAGTCATAAAATAGCTAATATGCATGAGTCATGCCCATTGTTTCCTTAAAAAATTCAGGAAAGACAGTTACACAACTTCCAGGAATAAATAGGGTCAACTTTCTCTGAATAGCTGGGTCTGAGCACTCTGGATAGGGCTCGTACCTGTGCAGCACTAACACTGAATTAATCTGACTCCCCCAAAAGAGCATCTCAAAACTCTAGGGCCTCAATCCCTTCCTACTACCCTTCTTCTGGCTTTATCAGCTTGTGGCTGACCTTCAAGCCCCCATGACAAACCCCTTTCTCCAAGGCACCTACTGGATTTAGCAAAGCATCCTTGACCTCTTCACCATAACGGTTTCGAAGGCAGGGACCACAGAACTGGCCTCGAATGCCCCAGCAGTCTGGGTTTCTGCAGTTTGTTTTGGTATCAATGGTTTTCTGTCGGCACTGATGACAAGTAGATCCCTACCAATAAAGAGCAAATAAGAAGACATGAAAACACAGCTTTATGTAGAGAAATATCCTTGGGGCTAGGGTTGTGGCTCAGTGGTAGAGCGCTTGCCTAGCATGAGTGAGGCACTGGATTCGATCCTCACATTTTGTCTTTGAATCTTATTTCATATCTCTATACGTAGATATATGCCAGGGCACAAAAAGTATCTCAAGCAGGATGATTGGCAGGTGCAATAGTTCTTATAACTAAAACATCTTTTTTTTTTTTTTTTGGAGCTAGAGACATAGCATTTGAACACTTGCCTATTTTAATATGCACATGGCCCTGGGTTCAATCCTTAACATAGTTAAAAAAAAAAAAATCCAGCTCCAATATATTTTTATCTTTAACACACCCACCACTGTAACACCCACATGTATATGTATCCATGTACACAATAGATACACAATAAATGAGTCAAATAAATAAATTTCTAAACTACTTCATATTTACCAGGATAATTCAAGTGACAGAGGGCATCCCTCATGCCCAGACCTTTAGAACATGAGCACCACTCTAGGGACAGAAGCTGTCCCTCCTCTCATGGATATTTACATTTCCAAACACAATTTAGAGGCTCTCACCAGTGAACGGTTATATATCTTCTCTCGAGAGTTGCTGCAGATGTTCTCCAACTCATCCTCTGTGATTTCTTCCACTGGGCGAATTATATGCGGAAGGGTCATGGATCCTGGGCGCCGACTTCTGGGCGTATCATCATCCTGAGAAACAAGAAGCATGAAACAAGAGTTCCTTACTGGCTCTCTCCAGTTTTGAATCTTTAGATACTTGATTTGTAATTATTCTGTACAGAAAATTCAACCTGGAAAATGCCTCTTGCTCATGGAGAGCGGGCAAGTTGTAAGTTTAGTGTAAGGATAACTGGACAACATTATGGAATTGATTCCTACAATTAGAAAAGCAGAACTACCTCTCATCTGCTAACGCAATCAAGTAAGTTTATGTGACATTAACAATTATGGATGGTTCATGAAAAACATTTAAATTGTATCATAATTGGTGTTGAGGCTGTGTGTTCACGAAACAGGGCCGACAGAAGAAGTAAAACAGAGGAGTGAGTACCAATGTGGAGAACTCACGTTCATGTATCCGTCCACAGTCTTCCTCTTTCTCACCAGCATAAACTTATCATCTTCCTCTTCTTCCTCCTCCTCTTCTGTGGGAAGAGCACTAAGGGACCCCAGGATCCGGGACCTTGACCTAGTCAGAGGACGAGCTCTCCGGTCGGGGTTCCTCCTGGAAGCCACACCTGGGAATGTACGCCTTCGGGGTGTCTTTGACTGCTGAAAAATACATGCAGGAGGCACCCATTCATTCCATAACAAAAAGAGGCAACCCTTTGGAAAAATGTCACATTACATAGAGAATGAGCCCCTAAATCCATATTATGGTCTTTGGAATTTTAAGCCCATTTTCTCTCAAATCAGTCTATGTATTACTCTACTTAATGAAAAAAAAAAAAAACTTACCTCCTGTTCCAACAAAAATTTCTCTCTGATTCCGCCTGAGCTCTGCACCCACACTCTACATTGCGTAGAGTGTTTGGTTTCCTTTTCCCCTTCTTTATTGGCTGCCATTCCTCCTCCTCATGGGAGTCAGTATAAAGCAGACTTTTCTTTTGTTATCACAGTTGTCTGAGCTTCATTTTCAGGAAACCATCATACATGATATTGGGCCATGAGCTGATGAACTTTTTCCTTTTTTTCCCCTCACTCTTGGATTTTAAATACATCAATCACCCATCTACCATGAAGAAATGTGCTAAAGCTGAAACAAGCCTTTAATCCTCACCATACTAAAGGGCTTTGCCTAACTGGGAAGGAGGGAAATAGCCACTCTAAAAGGGTATGAGCTCCACAGGCAGTAGGAGCTGTAATCCAGAGCTACCAAAAAGAGTCTTCAAGTTACCCTTTGACCATCTAGAAGACCAAATAGGAAACTGCATTTTAAAATCTCACACAAATCTGTCCTAGGCTTGCCCAAAACAATACTATACAAACAAGGACTTACATTTACTGATCTTGGGCCTGGGAGGGAACGTCTTCCAGGGAAGGAACCAGGGAAGCTTTCTAATTCTGACATGAGTTTTGCAAGCTAAAAAGGGAAGAAATTAAATAGAAATTCTTGGTTAAAATAAGTGCTGAAGGGGCTGGGGATAGCTCAGTTGGGAGAGTGCTTGTTTTGCATGCACAAGGCCCTGGGTTCAATCCCCAGCAACACACACACACATACACACACACACACACACACACAAAAAAAAAACCTGAAAATGAGAAACTTATTTGTGAAAACTACACTAGCAGCTTTAAGTCAACAAATTCAAAAAGAGTTTCTGATGTCACCTCTGTGCTTAATAGATTTTAAAAGAAGCAGTTTGAGGGGAAAAAAATTGGGGGGAAGGGAGTACATGAGATGCAAGACTGCTCTATCACTGGGCTATATCCCCCATCATGAAGACTTCATAGCTACACAGAAAATAAAGAAACGAGTCTAAGTAACAAATTGCTTAGAGAAAAGTTGGAAAGTTAGTTCTGACATGTTCAAAATTATTACATACCATTGCTTTGTTCTGCTTTATATTTAAGGCCCTTTTCTCAAGAAAGTTCATGCCACTTTCATCTTCTGAATCAGAATTGGAATCAATAGTGAAATTCTCTGAGGGCTTGGGGGGTGCCACTTTTTTGTTGGCTGCACTCCTGGTGTTTCGTGCTGGGAACTTCATCGCCACCCTGAGAGGTCCAGAAAGTTTGTACTGGCTGCGGGTCTTACAGCCTTCCCGGTTTGCCTGCGATCTCTAGTTAATGAGAGCAATTGAGTCATTAATCACTTGATGGGCAGACAAGTTGCATCAGTGTGAGTATAAAATCACTTCTGAACAAAAGACACTTTAACAAACAAAATATAAATGAACTGACAGCGCTGGGTAACAAAATCAAGAATTGCTCAAGTAAATGGAACAATCTGATTATAGTTTGGCTACATGTAGCTTATCTGGGACACACTGTTCTGAATCTGTGCTTTATAGGCTCTTGGATGGTTCAGAATCAGTTTTTAAAATGTGAAAACTCCTGCTCTTTTTCATTTCTTAAAAAAAAAAAATTCTTTCTGCATTTAAATAGAATTCTTGGAGGAACAACTGTATTCTCTCATAAACGTGGTTTCAATCCTTATGGCAATACATTAAACTATATTAAGATGTCTCAATTCTCTGTCCACTTTTTTTGGGAGGAGGGTGATAGGAATGGAACATAGGTGTGCTCTATCACTGAGATACATTCTCAGCCCTTTTTTATTTGTTTGTTACTAGAGCTTGAACCCAGGGACACTTTACCACTGAGCTACATCCCAACTTTTTGTTGTTCTTATTTAGTTTTAAGACATAGACCTGATAAGCTGCTTAAGACCTTGCTAAGTTGCTAAGGCTGGATTCGAACTTGCCATCCTCCTTTCGCAGCCTCCCAAATCACTGGGATTATAGGCATGCAGCTTCTTGTTTTATTTAATTGAGACAGGGTCTTACATCACCTCACCTGGCTCAAACATTTAATGAGCTAGGGGTGTGGCTCAGTGGTACAGTGCACACTCAGCATGCATGACGCTCTGTGTTCAAACCCCAGCACCAACAAATAAATGTTTCTCAAATCCCAACAAACAGTTCTTAGTACTGTTCATGGATAGAGGAACACTAAACAAAAATCTTTCATGAATCCTTAGCACTTTTAATCAATAGACATTATATTAATCACAAGAGGTAGTGTCTATAAAAAACTGAAACATTGAGCAGAAATTATTCAGGGCATTGACAACAGGTCACATCCAGATTTACAGAATGGTCCCTGTGATAAAATGTTCCTAAGTGCCAAGGTAGCTCAACATCACTTATTAGAGCAAACACATACTAGGATGAATAGACAGTGATAAAACAGTCATGGGGCAAGCGCTGTCACTCAGTGCTACTCAAGTGGTGACCCACAGGCAGTGGACCCATCTTAGACCACAGTGAGCTGAAGAGCATGCACCTGATTCTAATAACACATCTTCCTTTGGAAAAAGTCTCTGGGACAAGAAAATGTTTGCAGAATTACATGGTGTGCTCAGGGTATGGGGTCAAGTAGAGAAGCAGCAGCATCAGTCTGAGCAAGGTGACAGAGCTTAAAGAGGACAGAACAAGCACAGGAAAAGACTATCCAGTTGCAAATTCAGAAGCAGAAAGGATTCTACTTGTCCTTGTATGCACTTGAGCTCTTGTATAGGAGTCCTCACACATTCTTGGGATTCAGGTAATAATCTAACTCTGGAAACTAGCTATTATCAAAGGCCTGATCTCTGCCAGGTACAGGGCTGGGCACCTGCATGTAAATGTCAATGTAGCTGATCTTTAGGATGTGTGTATTTCCTCTGGATCTCTGTGACAATGAGAATTGGGAGGTTGGCCAACTTTAGTTTACAAGTTTCTAAGACTGTCAGGCCCTACAAAATGTTTTTAGACTTCAAAGTAGGACTACATTAGAAAAACTGCTTTAAGACATGAAGAAAATACTCAAAATTTTAAAAAGGTCAACAAAATCTTCTGGCATGACTAAAGGGAAAAATCATAAGAAAAAAAAATTTTAAAAAAAGCAAGTGTGTCATGCCTCTAAAATCTTACTTCTTGACATTGGTGAAACTCTCAAACTCACCATTCCATCTTGTATCTCACTCTCTGAGAAACCGCAAAATGATTCATCATCAGAGTCGGCATGAAAAATACTGGCCAGTTTGTTAGTGACATCTGGCCTTGGTTTCTGTAAAAATCCACAATGGTCTAACACATCTTGCACCTCACTTTCTGAAAAGCCGCAGAAAGATTCATTATCAGAGTCCTCATAAAAAACATTTGCCAGTTCTTCACTGATATCTGACCTGAATTTAGGTTTCTGTAAAATAAATAAATAAATGTGGTTGTACATTTTTTTTTCTTTTTCAAGAACCAATTTTCCATAAACCGTGCAGAGAGCAAATCACATTTACAAGTGCACTACAAGAGAATAGCTTTTGTTACAAAGAAAAATGGTTCTGAGGTTTACAAATGATTTCTAAGTTGTTATGGCAAATCATCAGGCATGTTAGGTTAGGCGACATTTCAAAAGGATAGAATAAGTAGCTAATCTATCTCCAACAATTACTACCTAGAACCACAGCAAAAAGTGAAATGAAATTACAGTGCATACTGTATTTTCATAACGGCTGTATAGAAATGTAGGCAAAAAGCAAGCAGTTTTAATCACGCACAAAGCATTTGGGGCATTTTGAGCACTGCAGACTCAATTCTGTTTATTCTCAGGCAGCACTTACCGTGTTTGCAAAATTATCAGAAGCAAAGCTGTCACAACTGTCATCAGAGGATGACGAGGTTTCCATGGAAATCAACTTCATATATCTGAATTTCTTTAAGTTCTTTACTCTGAGATCCTTTTGCTGCAAATGGAAATGGCAATACTATTAAGTGGATGTTTACTATAGTATCCAACTAAAGACATCACTTTTGAGTTTAGTAGGTTTAAACAGCAAAGTAGGTATGTCCATTTCTCATACTATACAGAGAAAAAGGAAGATTTGCAATTGCTATAAATATCTTCAAAACCAGGTCAAATTCTACGTTATCCCTTTGGAGACAATTTTAGTGATATTTATCAATTTATTCAAACATCTTCTGAGCTACCTCTTCCCAACCTTAAATGCCCAAGTTCTTAGCATTATAATGAGCCCCACAGGAGCTTAATGCTAAACTTTTAAAATCCAACCTCACTTTTAAAAATTAAATAGCACTACTAAAAGAAAATTTCAAAAGTACAAAATGCCTGAGCGATTTTTCTCCCTCAGCCAAAATCAAGCTAATGAGGTCTTTTTTGATGTAAGCTTTAGGCTCTGTACTGTGATGCTAATTTTCCAAACTATGGAAATCGGTCAGGAACTCTACTTCAAGATGGCAGGCTTCCCAACAGGCCGCATTCCCATCAGGAGGAGTATGATTTCAGCACAAGTCTTTACAAATCAAATGGTATAAGAAATCAAGTCTTAGGGGCTGGGGCTATAGCTCAGTGGTAAAGTGCTTGCCTCACATGTGTGAGGCACTGGGTTTGATCCTCATGACCACATATAAAATAAAGATACTATGTGTTCATCTACAACTCAATAAGTATTTTTTTAAAAAATCAAGTTATAGTTCAACTAGCACTCCAAACCTAGGCAGAGTACCTGATTCTATTTTAGCACTCTATTACCATAGATTGTCAGTTGATAGAATGCTCATCTCACAAGCACAAGACCCTGGGTTCAATCCCCAGCACTACACACACACAAAAGACTCAAGTACTTTAGGCTGGGGGTATAGCACAGTGGTAGAGCACTTGCCTGGCAAACAGGAGGCCCTGAGTTAGATAGTCTGGGAGGGCAGGGGACTTGAGGGTTTTTTGTTTTGTTTTTTAAAGTCCTTTGATAACATGCAAATTATTGGTAAATATGAAAAAACGCTTCACTCATTCAATGAACAGTCTTGCATTGTTCATGAGAAAACACAACTGGGATCTAACTTTTGTAAAAAGAGTAGTAGTTTCTACCATTTCTTAGTCTTTATGGAGACTTTAAGCATTGCTTTAGTTTCTATGCTTCTATTTTCTTTCTGTAAGACCATGGAATAACAGTTGAGTCCTTACACCCAAATCTTTGAAAGTCAACTTTGCTGTCTCACAAAACAATGCTAAGATGTGAGGTGTCAGGTGAATCAAAAGAACATTCTTTTTAAAAAAAAATATATATATATTTTTATATGCAGTGCTGAGAATCGAACTCAGGACCTCACACATGCTAGGCAAGTGCTCCACCACTGACTGAGCCACATCCCCAGTCATGGAAAGAACATTCTTGATCACCTTCACTCCACATTCCACATTTCAGTCTCTTGCAAATTACTGGCAAGAATTTCCATAGTAATTTCCCTATGCCCCTAAGAGAATGCCATTCAATCCTCTTAGGAAGTTTCTGTCTTTTGACCTTTTAGCAAGGTAGGAAAACATGGTAACAGGCAGAGCTACAAAATATAAAAGGTTACATGTAAATGTATACAATTCATGTTAGGAGCAGAAAGATATCGCAAAAACCCCTCCCCCAATTTTCAGCGGAAGCAATTCATGGCCCCAGGAAGGTGGAAAAGACTGCCCAAGATCACAGGGCTGGAAAAACTCAAGTCTGCTATCTCTTAAAACAGCAGTGCTCTATGCATTACTTCAGGTATTCTCACCAATCTACCTGCAAGCCATGAGAGGCCCAAGGCAGCCTCAAGGGAGGCATTTTACTGGAGCTGTCAGGGAAAGACAAGCGAAGATTTAACAAGTCAGCGCGTGCCAAGAGTTATTTACCTGGCAAATGTACTTTGGGAGGAAAAGACAGAGACAGAGCAAATGGTCATGACAGACATGAACTTTTCTGGCAAGCAGAACAACTAATACCATTTATACTGGGTTTTGTATTACATACCAGGCACTACGTTAAGTCCGCTCTAAGTCTTTGCAACAAAGGTGCTATCGTTACTTTCACTAAACAAATGAGGAAACTAAAACTCAGAGGGTATTACTCAAATCACAGGGTGGCCCAAACACCAACCCAGTTAAATCAGATTCAAAGCTCAGCTAACACGTGGCTTTCTTCATTCTGGAAGCCCAAGCCCAGTGCCACCCGGCCGACGGCCAGGCTGAAACCACGCCCCCTCCCACCCATCCCAGCCTCCCCCACGTGGGTCCTTAACCCCTGCTATTTATTTTAAGCAGTCATTCTCTTCCTTTCCACCCAACCCCCACTCTACTATCCGCTTCCTGGGCAGGCCTACATTCTGGCTTCCGTTAGAGCAAACAGTACCGTTTCATTGCTTGCAACTCACTACTGCGAATTGAGGTTGGGAGGTGAGAGAAGAAAGTGAGGAATGAGTAAATGGTCGCAAATGGTTTGGATTATCCAGCCCTTAAACTGCAATTAACCACTATCTGGGACAAAACAAAACTTCTCCCGTATACAACCCAACTTCTAAAAAGATGCGTTTACAAGACGCTCAGCAGTTAGAAGCAGCCACCGAGGATGCGCATCCCACGGCCCTCACTGGCCCAGGAGCTGCATACAGGAGAGCTGGGCTGGCGGCTGCCGAGCGTGTGCCCCGAGTCCGGCCAGTCCCGGCCTCTGGCAGGCGCACGTGCATCTCGGGCACACGTGCGGAGGCTCCCCAGCGTGGCCAACCATCCTACAAACAGCTCTCTTCTCCGCAACCATCCGCACGCCGGTGCGCACGCCGGCGGGTTTGCCACTGGCCCTAAATTCCCCCAGCAGCACAAAAATCCAAGACTTGCCCAAAAGGGCGACGCCCAGGGCGACCACCAGTTGATAAGCACACTCCGCGGCGCACTCGGGGGGTGTAGCCTCCAGCCCGCTCGCGTCCAGCCCCCATAGCACCCGCCCCTCAGGTTCGCCCGCCCAGCCCTCACCAGCACTCGGCGACCCTCCATGCTGGCGGCGGGCACCCAGGCTGTGCTCCGAGCCGGGTGAGCCGAGCAGCCACGCGCCGCGGTCCTACAGAGGAGCTGCAGAGGGAGCCGAGCTGCTGGCAGGAGGGGCGCTCCAACCTGGGCTCGGAGGGGCGGGGCTCGAGCCGGCTTTCCCGCGTTGTGGTGCAGGTCCTGCAAGATTAGCTAACAACCCGACCGGGCGCGAGATCTACTCAAGCCCAGATAAAAAACCTTGGCCCTCCACCTATTCTGAGCTCAAAGGATAGCCTTGGTGACTCCTAAAATTACCTTTGAAAAAGTGACTCTTTGGGAGCTGTGAGGACGATGCTCTCTACACAGCTACACGGTCCTGAACGAGTGGCGCGAAAGTAGTTCGTATTGCCCCGGGGTTAGAAAACTGATTTGCATGAATTCCGTGGTTGGGGAGGAAAGCCGAGACTGGGATTTTTGGAGAGCGGCGCAGGAGATCGGTTTACGCGTTGGGCACTGGCCACTTCCCTTGCACCTTGTGGTTTACATAATTAAAACATATGTATATCAAAGAATCCAACAGGAACCACCCTTTATAAGCCGAAGTACCGCCTTTAGGTGTAGCCCCTCTTTATCTGGTAACCACACCATTGTCTAAAGCACTTAAATGATTCAAATCCCGACCTTTCCAGAAAGCGCAGGAAGTTGACTTGTTTTACTTAAGACCTGTAGTATTCAAAGTTAAAAACAGTCCCTGCAGTTTAGTGAAGACCTTTAAGTGGGATTTAAAAAAAATTAAAAAAGATTTTAGAGAATATCCGTTGGAGATAGAAGCTGCAGGCTATATTAACATGGCTTAGAGATATTTCCTTCCGTCAGGATTAGGATTAACTGAGTCAGATATTTGTAATGCCCTTTGAATCAAACCAGGCAAGGCGACAAAGTAAAGTGTGAGGCTTTTGTCTGTGTATGGGTGGGGTGGATACTGGGGATTGAACTCCGGAGCACTGACCAGTAAACCACATCCCCTTTGTGTTTTATTTAGAGACAGGGTCTCACTGAGTTGCTTAGGGCCTCGCTTTTGCTGAAGCTGGGTTTGAACTGGTGGTCCTCCTGCCTCCGCCTCCAGGGCCGCTGGGATTGCAGGCGTGCACTACTGCGCCCAGCCTTTTTTTTTTTTTTTTTTTTTTTTTTTTGTAAAGAGCAAAAAACTTGCTTTGAGAAGAAACAGCAAGAATTTGGGTTGCTTTAAAAGGCCCCTAATTATGACTTTAAATTTTAAAAAGTGCTTGAAGTGAAAACGTTCGCATTTCCCCAGCATTTCAAATTTTTTCTGCAGGGACTAATTCCTTGGTAGTTAACAGCATGGGAGGACCCACTGAGTGCCTCTTTGGATATATGAAAGATACAACCTATAAATAAATAATGCATAAGAACAATGGATTGGGAGGAGTCTTAGAGCTTTTCTTAAACACTCCTGCCCAAAGGTCACCTTGTCTCTGTGCAAGAGCCAAAGAATTCAAGATCTGGAAAGTAGGGGCCAGGAGGAGAAGCTGTTGGTCTGTCTGGTGAAATTACTGGTAGTAATAAATATTTGTTGAATGAATGAACAACTAAATGAATGAATTAAAATTGTCCTTAGTGCAGTGTCCTTGGAAGATAGTTTTCTGCCATTAAGATTAAAAATATTAGCATTTGTAATTGCCAATCACATAAACTAGGGAAGATTAAGTCACTTTGCCTATGAAAAGCTCTGATAAGAAAATTCTTAGTCCTCCTGAGGCATTAGATAATAGTTTGGCTTACATGCTTTTTAAAGATAAGCTCTCTGATTCTTTTTTAAGAATATTTATTTTTTAGTTGTAGTTGGATACAATACCTTTATTTTATTATGTGTGGTGCTGAGGGTCCAACCCAGGGCCTCCCACTTGCTAGGTGATTGCTCTACTGCTGAGCCACAACACCAGCCCAAGCTCTTTGATCTTTTTAAAAAAGACATGTACTCTTTTTAGTAATCAGGAAAATGAAAAAACAAGGAGATACAGTTTTGCTCTGACTGGCAAAGCTATAAAGTCTGATAAAACGAAGTTTGAGTAAGGATTCAAGCAACTCTCACAATAATGTTAGTACTGTAATTTTTTTTAATATTAGAGAACAATTCAGAAATATTTAGTAAAAACCCAGCAACAGCATTTCAAGATATATAACTAGAACTGTTTTTTCTAGAATAGGTTTGAATCTGTTGGTGGATTGTGACATCAATTCAGTAGTTTGCAACTAGCATATTTTTCTATATCATTCTGTGTGTGTGTGTGTTCATTTACCTTAGTAGTTTTATTTTATTGTGGTTGGTAAGAAACACTTAACATGAAATCTACCCTCCTAAGAAATTTGTAAGTATACTGTTTTGTTAACTATAGTTACAGTGTTGAAAAGCAGATCTCTAAAATGTATCCATCTTACTTAACTGAAAGTTTATGCCTGATGATTAGTAGTAAATCCTCACTTCCCTCTCTCTCTCTGGCCCTAGATAACTACTATTCCATTTCAATTTTGTAAAACTGACTATTTTGGATACTTTACATAAGTGGAATCCTGCAGCATTTGTATTTCTGTCTTTGCAGTGAAATAGAATATGAGAGTAGTGTGAGTGTTGTATCCTGAAACTTTTCTTTCACTTTTGTGTATAAGTGTGTGACTTTATATAAAATGTATCTCTTGCTGTGCTGTGAAGGACCAAGGTACTGCCTTAGAGAATGTGCGGTGGTGAGTCATATACAGATGGACCTGCATTTTTTCATTCCGTCAAGAGTCAAGAGTATTGAAGGCTAATAAGCCAGACAGGTTCTGAGTACTCAGAAGGCAAAGTCCAGACCCTTTATAGTCTGTGGGAGGAGAAGAAATAAACACATAAGACAGTTTTAGGTGTGATCACTTCTGAGAAGAAAAGTAAAAGATGAAAAGCAGAAGCAAGATAAAGAGCAAGGAAATGAAAGAGGTACTCATTTCGATAAGTTAAAAAACGAATGTTAGGCTAGGCATGGTGGCCTATAATCCCAGCGGCTTGGGAGGTTGAGACAGGAGAATCGCAGGTTCAAAGCCAGCCTCAGCAACTGGGAGGCACTAAGCAACTCAGTGAAACCCTGTCTCTAAATAAAATACAAAATAGGGCTTGGGATGTGGCCCAGTGGCTGAGTACCCTTGAGTTCAATCCCCAGTGCCAAAAATAATAATAAAATGTAAGTTGTGGGCTGGGGATGTGGCTCAAGCGGTAGCGCGCTTGCCTGGCATACGTGTGACCCAGGTTCGATACAAACAAAGATGTTGTGTCCGCCGAAAACTAAAAAATAAATATAAAAATAAATAAATACAATGTAAGTTGTGAAAGTTTCAAAAACATGGTCAAAGAGGAGAGGTTTACTAAGAGGAAAGAGGGGAGGGTGGGACCTTCGACTCTATCATAAATGCTTTCATTAAAAATAAAACCAGTATGAAGCAAATATAGAAAAGTGGTAAATATGAGCACTTGGGTATCTTTTATATTTTTAGTGTAAAATATACAAAAAATTTTGTAAAATACAAAAAAAGGACTAGGGATGTGGCTCAGTGGTTGAGTGACCCTGAGTTCAAGCCCCCATACAAAAATAAATAAGTCTTGAAAAGAATGTATCCTGCAAGTATATATAGTGTGAAATATGCATTTCATTTACAGGGTCCAATAAATGGGAATTCAAGGTTTTAAGTCACTGTATTAATCATACACTGGTATATATTTTTATTTTGAATGAAAGACACACAGTGAGTAAGCATGGGTGGAAAATCAGTGTGTGGGTAAAGAGTGAGGCCCAGGCTTCAGCAGCAGATAACAGGGAATGACATTTTATAAACACATGCCTGATGTATACAGGCAGGATTTGATATAAAGGCTGTAAATACAACAAGTACTCAGTAAATACTTACTACCAACTAAAATGATTGCAAGCAAATTTTTTATTTTTTTCAGTACTGGGGATTGAATCCAGGGGTACTACCCCTGTCCCCAGCCCTTTTCATGTTTTATTTTGAGACAGGGTTTCCTACCTTGCCCACGCTGGCTTTGAACTTGCAATCCACCTGCTGCAACCTCCCCAGTTGCTGGGATTACAGGTGTGTGCCACCAAGCCCTCTTAAATGTGTTAAGCATTCTAAAATATCAGTCTCCTGTTACAGAGCTTTGAATTGCTTGAGCTGTTACGAATTTTAAGGATTGTCATGTATTTTCCTGTAGCTTTTATTCACCTTGCACAAAGAATTCTATTTTCTGTTGTCTGAAACTTGACCTTAAGGTTCTGAGCATTCAATACTTGTATAGTGAGGTGAGCTAAAGTCAAACTTTATCAGGATGACTGGTTTTAGGACAAAGAATGCAACATGGAGAAAGATGTATCATTTTTAAATGAGATTTCAATACAATGCTAATGTCGGGGTAGCTATGCACACACCTCAGTCCACACACCCTGCTCAGACAGAGTAATATGAACCCAGCAGCCAGTGGAAACCAGAGACCTAGAATAGACTAGACACCCCTGGAGACAAAGGGCTGGAAAGAGTTTTCACTGTGGCATGTACAGACAGGTGGCAGTTTGTCAGGTCATAAATCTCTATTTTAAATAACCCCCTAATTATAGATTTACCTCTGCTGTGCCTGCTTTCAGGATGCATAAAGGCAAGAAACCTAAAAGCCCCCAAGTTATGCTTCCATTGCCAGAAGCCACTCCGTGGGAGGGCCCAGTCCTTTACCACCCAGGCTCAGTTCACAAGTACTAGCCCAAGAACCATATCAGTATGTTTGCTTTTGATTATATGTCAACAGTGTCTTAGGTAGGTCAGTTTGCTGACATCCAATACCTGATTAGAGAGAGGACTATGGGAAAATGAATGCAAATCTGGCCATCTTTAGAGAAAATACTTGCTTTTTTCTTGGATGAGCATTGTCCATTGTGAAGTACATAACTGCAGGTGTTAAATACTTTTAAGGCTTTTTCCTTTTTCCCCTGTGGTGCCTGGGATGGAACCCAGGTCTTGTGCATGGCCTTATGTATATTAGGCAAGAGCTGTGCCATTGGGCTATACTCCAGG